ACTTAAATTCTTGTTTATTCCACTGTAAATTCAATCTTATGATTTAGCTTGAGAAAACTGTCTTCTCGTCTATGCGATGCTCTTTTTGATGAGGTGATTCTTCTAATGGCTCATCTCTGACCTAGCGAAGGCACTTACGTTTCATGAAAGTCCGCTTTTTCTTTCCGAAGGTAGTTTTATCTTGAGCAAGACGAACATTAGAAGTAATTTTTTTTACTGATAAAGCTGTAGAAATTAGGGTAATACTAAATAAAAAACGCACATTGAGCACACATACACAACACATACAAACACATAAGCACAAGAGCACAGACGTTACTAGACACAAAGACTTCAGAACCCATTTGTGAAATTTTTTAATGTGTATCTTTGAGCTGGGAGGGGCTTCACCTATCGTAGGATAAAGTCTGTTTGAGTTAGGCACGTGTGGCAATTCGTAGAGGTCTGAGTTTCAACTTCTTCTCCTTCTGTTCACCTTTTTTACTTAGCGCCTGAACTGATCTGAAGCAAAAGTGGGGAATCTTGTTTGTACCGCCACTGTTTGTAATATTCTTCTGCCACTAGACAGCAGTCCGTTTAGCTTAAAGTCGCTTTATCGTTAGCTGAACCTCTTTCAATGCAAGCTTGGCCAATTCCCTATGAGTGTTAGCACCCAATTTTATGACAGAGCACAAACCTACACAAAGAGCGTTCTTAATTTCTAAAAATTCAATACTTGTTCCAGACAAGTAGGTAAATTTCTTATGTCTCTACAAACAATTCGAACTGAACCTTCCAGGTTTGACCTTCAAAGTTTGACACCTGGCAAAAAAGAGCTGTCGGCTCATGGAGCGCTCACCTCAACACTGAGAAATATATTCTTGTCGAGAAGCTCAATTATATCAAACAAATTGAACATATTATGGCAAACATAGAGGTGAGGTTCTTTTTATAGACCCAACCTACGTACAGGACTGCGAGAAAACTTCTGCGACGCTTTTTACGACTGCGGCTGCGACGTGTTTCGACTGGCCAGAGATGATCATTAAGGGGCAGGTGGGTATGTAATCTAAGCACACCATAAACGGAGGCGTCAGTGAGAGGATGCAGTTCAACAACTATTGCGATTCCAAGTGGCAAACGTCGGATCGTGTTCTGCGTGTTATGGAATTTAGGAAGATTTGTTCTAGAAGATATCATCACCGCTGACGCACACAGCTCTGAACTGCTACGGAACAATAGAACCGCAGCCTTGTATGGGTGAAGTTTCCCTGCTTATAAGTGCTCACAGCATATTGACAACAGTTTGCGATATTGGCCTCGTAGTTCTATTTCACCCACTACATTGTCCTCGTTCGCTTGCTCAATTCTTAGAGAACAGGAGTGCAAGCACATCGAAACGAGCCTTCAGTTATTCTTAACGTCGAAGATAGCAAAATTCTAACGAAAAGGTATCCATTTGCTAGGTAATCGATGGAAGACAGTAGTTTGTTATGAAGAAATTGGTTATTTCCGAGTATTCTTATTTAAACCGGAAATTACTTATTACTCAATCTAATAATTATTTGAGCAGTGCTACTTTAAATGTTTGTCCAATGACTGTGGAAATTTCAGGCAGTTTCCAACTAACTTTATGGAGAAAGAAATTCAATATCTCAGTGCGTTTACGTGCCTACATGAATATTAATTTGATCAGAGATTATAATATGGGGTACAATTTCTATCCGATTCCACAGGTCTCAAACTGAAAGGAATCAACTATTTCATAGCTATGTCATTGTGGAATATGCTCTAAGATGTGGATGAAGTCCAATTTGCNGATATATATTTTAATGGATTATTGATTGACGCTTAAGACAGAATAGTCTAGCCTTCGTTGTGATCTTCACTTGACCTTAACTTCAATGTTTTCTGGAAGAATACCGCTATAAATCTGTTCACCAGAATCCACGCGACATTATGCATAAATTTAGCAGTTCGGTAGATCAAGCCTGATTGAGATGCGCTGTGCATTTGGGAATCATCGAAAATAGTGGAGCATGTGTGCAGGGGTAATCGACTTCCGATGAAGTACTAGAAAAGCTAATTTTATTTGAAGATGAGGGTAGAATGTGGAGCAAATGTATCAGTGAAATAAATCTTATTCTGTAGACACAACCCTGCCAGTATTGCCCCTTTGATCATCCATTCGTTCGAGCGAGCGCTATTGAAGCCACAACTCACGATAATCCTAGGATAGCTCGTTTTAGACGAATAATGGAATAGCTAGTTAGTTTATAGTTTAGACTTGCGCGAAAGTGGCGAAGAAAACGCGAAAATCGATGTACTCAGATATGTACTAGGCTTCAAAAAAGAATTGAAGTCAGGGAATTCACGAGGATGTGAGCTGTGCAAGGAAGTAATAAATCAGCTGCCTAATTGCCAATGCATAGAGCAACTACAATAAACTGCTTGCGTGAAATGTGCGCTTCCTGTTACGAATTTGCAACCTCTAGAGCCTCTACAACCCCGTGAATTCGTCCGGTGTTGGGTGTGTATGCCGGCAAAGCTTATATGAGCTTTACATTTATCACCTCCTAAATAGCGGTTCTCAACCCTACAGCGTCTCTTGTTCTATACTAGGGGTCATAGGTTCATCCCAGGGTAAAACTGAACAACCATTTCCTCGTGAACTGTGATTTTAAAGTCATCTCCGAACCTTTCGCGTGCCTCGTCCTTGTTAGTGGGAGCCCTGCGTTAGCCGGGCGATCTCGAGTGCTAGCATAATACTATGTTAAGACAGCGTAAAAATGTGACAAAAAAACACACACGTGCATACATATACACACATACACAAACATACATACAGATGCACATGGAAACGCACACCCCATATGCACACGGACGCCCATCGAGCCTACAAACATAATTGTCGGAGAGCACAGACGATCTCTGACAAAGAGATTTACAACTCCCCCCAAGTGTGGAATTCCTCGGTGAGCATCTTCGAGCTACGCGCAGGCTTTGCCTATCATAAGAGAAGTTCTGTTCGAGTTAGGAACCCTGGCACATCTTGGACGCCTGTATCTCATCTTTTTCTAGTTGCCTACACCTCACCTTCCCACTTTTTTCCTCAGTGCCTGAACTGTTCTGCAACAGGAAAGGGGTACTTTGTCTTTGCACCGTCATTCTTCATACATGTCCTTCCTCCTTACAATTAGACAGCAATCCACTTAGCTTAAAGTTGTGCCCACTCAATGTATACGTGCTTCCTCCTGTGGAACCCGATTTCATGGCAGGGCCCCTTACCAACAAAGTGGACACACACCCACACAAAGAGCGCTCTTTATTTGGTAGAGGTTTCTCAGTCTAGCAGTGAGACTGGTCACTGAAATATGAACAAAAACTTGTTTACAAATGAGTAGGGATTTTTTTTCATGCCAATACGAACAATCTTATTTAGATCTTCCAGATTTGACTTTCAACCGTTTGTCGCTTGGCGGGGAAGAGCTGCTAACTCAAGAAAGAGCCTCACGTCGTGCAGCGCTGCTCGCTCACCTCAACACCAAGAAAGAAGTACTCGACGAGAAGCTCAATCACATTATACAAATTGAACATATTATTTCAAATTTGGGGACGAATTTCTTTGTTAGACTTTAAATAAGTACAGTACTCATCAAATACAAAACGAAATTATTCTATAAAGCAAGAAAGAAGAAAATTACAACTCGTATCTCTCTCCTTCTGAAAAGCAGCAGCGGCGAATTTTTTTCTAAGGAGAATTAACAGAAGTTACCACCTCAGTAGTACCTACCCACATACGAGGGAGTTCCTACTCCTGATGGCTGCTTTCCGCTTTCCCCTACCGCCTATAAAAAAAATCGGTGATTCATTAAAAAGAATGACGTTTCATATAAACAACGCATATTGAAGCGAACCAAGTATCTAGCTTTGTTTGGACTGCTGTTTGGGTCACGTCGGTATACCAAATCAACCACAAAGAAAAATCAGGCAATGTACTAGTCCTGCATCATATAATGGAGTAATGAAGGCGGGTCGGATTACTGTAATAAGGAATGATTTTGGTGCTGCACTGTAAAAATTACTGCGCAGAAATAGCTCTGTCTCAAGGGCGTGAGGCATCACCTCTTTCTCTGTTCAATGCGAGTTCAAGTACCAAATCCATACGGAAGTTCACAAAATGCGCATGGAGCATAATCAAATCGCCAAGGTATCTCAGCATAGTTCGCCAAGGTATCTCAGCAGCGATAGTTCTTCTCGTGCGCACTCAATTTGAGTGCGCACGGGAAGAACTATCGCTTACAGTATGGTCAGGCTTTACACACATTCACATTTTATTTCTACTCACAGCATCTACATTCCAAGTAACGTGATCAACATTGTGCTCCAGGGTTCAAGAGCCTGATTTGGAGGGGGNACTTCTCAAATCTGCCACTGTCTCAAGTGTTGCAAGAGAATCCCTGATATCCCAAACAGGGCGATCTTAACAGCTAGCCCATAGAAAGGACTGAAGGAACTTTCACCCTACCGACACATTTGCTGCTTCTCAGCCTTCATTAACGGTATGCATTGTTTGTAAGCGATGTTGCGTACCGTACAGATTTCCACCAGTGGATACTACCTCTTCTACAATTGTTTTACAGAAAGGAACCTGGTAATGACTGAGAATTGGGCGACCACGCTTTTAATTTATGAGCCACGAGGTGTGCTAACACATACCGCGTGGCCCATAGATGAGCACCGACATTGGCTCTAAAGGTACATAAGCATATACAAGGCATAGAGCCGTAACTCCTGGCCTTCACTCCCGCTTGGCAGAAATCAGAGCAATCGTATTCTGATCCACTCGATAGCCAACGAGAAGCTTCACCGTCATAAAAGTGTCATAGCAGTCAGCACATCTTATAGATTAGCAAACCTCATTTCATCTGTTCAGCACTAGAACAAGCTCAGAGAAGTTTATTGTGACAATACAGAGTGCAATCAAAAAATAAACTAATACCGTGCTCGTCGTTCGCTAACTACTTTGGGCCAAGCCTAGGTGCTGGTGCTATCGATTCAATCGAGGTGACTTGGAAGGGATCTCTGACTGTTTGTCCTGTGCCGCTTGACGTGACAGTTGTTTTGCCGTCAACCGTCTTGTAAACATACGTCTCATTGTTGACACTGATACAGAACTCTTCCGTGTACTTCCCATCAACATATGTACACGATTTTGCAGTAGAAATTGAAGTTGCCCCTGGGAACGTGGCGTTGTAGCGTTTTCCGTTGATATCAGCTGTGACGGTCATATTTCCATTATCAATACTGATGCTGACGCCCGAACTATGAGCTGACTTAAAAGCGTTATCAATCGTTTCCTGTAGATGCCTCCACCAATCGTCTTGGAATAGTCGGCCCTGAATACGAGTTCAATATTGGGGAACACAGTATTGGATAGTAACCAACCAAATTTCGGGTATTAGCTAGGGCATCGCTGGGATTTGGGATTAGTTTATTGCGTACAGGAAGTCTAAGTCGCTTTTTCGGAGAGAAAATGAGGTAATCAACAAGCAGTCTACAGTGAAAGCTGCAGCGAAGAGCTCAAAAGGCTATCACCCTTCCAATCGTTCGACTATTCAACACACGGGTGAGGAAGGAGGGAACAGACTCTGAAGACCGTTCTCAACTATATAATAGTATCAACTATTGGCTACATTACACGCTTGGACCCCGTCCAGATGGTTCAGGCCTTCCATCCCCCCGGGATCGGTCAGCTGGTTTTAAGCTCATCGGGGTGGTGAAAATTTGGCTTTTCACTGACTTCACTTTTCTGCAAGGCATTCATAGGCTAACCATTCATTCGGAGGCCCAGTTATTTCAAAAAGAATCCGAATGTCTGGGCAATATGGCTGCAAATCGGCAGGGAGTTAATTCTCCACAGTTTATTTACTTACTGGGAAATGGCCAACTGGTGCCATATTGAATCCGGGAAAGTACGGATTCCAGTAGGAGTTAAATGGCCAGTAAGCCCATCCATTAGTCTGAAACACATACATATGCATGTAAACCATCGCTCAATAAAGGCGATGCACAAGGAAGAACTGTCTAACCTTGGCTGTGAATAGAAAAATGAGGGAGATTGCTAAGGCGGAACGCATTTCTGCTGCCAATGGATGAATAACACAATGTTGGGGCATTTATAAAGCTCACATGAATAAGCAGTTGACTAATGATTATTCATCTAACAATCAGATATGACGCCTAAATTATCCGCAAACATACCAATGGGAAATTNCATAAACTATCTTGTTTCGAAATCATTACCGCTTTCCATCAATACTGAAGAATCGTATCCCGTTACCACCGAAATCATGATTAAAGCTATTCAGTTTATTCCTCATCTGAGCATAGGTACTTTGTGTACTGCTCCCCTCTATAGCCACCTCTGTGTGGCTGATAAAAAGACAAAGCCTTTGGCATTAATAAATCCCGTCTGGTATTTTGGCTGTTCATAGTAGGGTCGGGCATCACTGGGAAATTATGAGCAGTCCTGAAATCAGCTGATCCAAGGCGACTGCCTCAGTGACTATTTTTTCCCATAATACTTCCATGTGACAGTAATATACAAGTAAGCTTACATGACATATGCATGTCATGTTCGGTACACAAAGGTCCGACAAGGGTTTTGCTCGTACCCCATGTGCTAGGAAATCTTCTCTGGCTCTGGCAAGTGGTTGGTATTATCGAGTCGAAGGTGAGCCAACCCTAGAAGGTTCTGACTGATACAGAACTTGCTTTCCATTTTCCTATCCTTTGACTGCCCGAGAATTCTCTCAACGAATTTCCCAAGAAAAAACCTCGGCAGTGGAAATCCTTGGAATCAATCCAACATCACAACAAAGAACGAGGGCGTTATAATGCACTGGGGTTCNGCCAGAACTATCTGAAAGCCCGCTGAGAGCGCTCCGCAGAATGCAGAGTCGATGTTTTGGGAGATTCAGCGGGCGTTGCGCAACGGAAATCCTAGCAACATACAACCACATACTTTTTTCTCTGGAAAAACGGCTCTCAGCAGCTTCAATTGTTTTGGAGAAAGCCATCGTGTGATTTGAAGCCAAGCACTCGTAGATGCTCAAGCTCTTATGCATGCACACTACCAGTTTAGTAGGGGATTGGCCTAAAGACGGACTTACACCGGTTCGCTAGCCTTCTGCTGAACCACAGTAGCTATTCGATTCTTCTTGGTCAAAAAGAAAGAATATTCCTTTCTTCTTTTGTCCTGCTGGAATTCAAAGATCAGCAATAAAGCTCTGGCCTCGCAAGGTTCTCGATCGAAAGGTAGAGGTATCTTCCTGCTATTGACCAATTCTGTCAATGACCAATCCCATTTGGAGGATGCAACCCCTGCATTCGACTTCCATTCAGAACGGCAGTGACGTTTTAAATCCTTATGTGGTCTTTACAACGAATTGCGATGCAACCGATATAAGAGTCTGAGGTTTCATGCCCCTGATCGCTCTGCTGCTAAATGACCGACCGTGGAGGGACCTGGGTGAACACCTCCTGGAATAGGATCATCAGAGGAGGCACGTGGATGGTGTGTGCCGCTCGCCATAACACTACCACCGCTCCAAAGTTCTCGAATAATATAATTACATAGTTGATTTTTCAATGACTCACTCAAAAATCATACTCGCTCAATGGCAATGGCGATTACTTGTGATCATTTTGCCTTGAAAAAGACTCAGCAGACTAATTTTATGAGTGAAGAAGTAAGGCTTTCATAACCCCACAAAAACCCGGTATCTTTTATATATAAGTGGGGGGGGGGGGTTGGGAAGTGCATTAGGTGCGTCCGAGAACGCGCGCGGCAAATTGCGCGGCAAAATTCGTGACGATTTGACGGACGACTCTGAGGCCAATTTTCGGGGCACAAACTCGAAGTAGAGTAGTTTACCAGGGTCAGTTGATCCTACTAGTCTACTCTACTTCGAATTTGGACCCCAATGATAGGCGCTAGAGCCGTCCAAATCGTTACGAACTTCGCCGCGCAATTTGCCGCGCGCATCCTCGGACGCACGTAAGTCCTCATACCCAACTTCGGGTGTCTGTTTGTATGTCGTTTTGTGCGTAAGCCACGGAGGCGCGATTAGTTGCGGAAAACGTCACTAGGGCGCGATGGCAAAGGTATTATGAAATAGAAACCTACTAACACTGCCTGTATTGATCCCTTAATTAGTAAGGATTACATATGTAATTGACTCTGAAACATAAACTCCCCTCTTTTTCCCGCAGGATAAACATATTCAGATCCTTTCAGTGCCAGGGCGATGAAACATTCTAAGAGAAAACTACCCATTGCAATCAGACATCATCAAACACTCTGCGAACTGTTTTCCATCGAATCTCTAATGCGCTGTAATTATTATTATTGTAATTGTAATTCCTGTAATTGAATTCAATTTTATCTTTCTGAAAATTATGTTTCCATTGTGTTCATGAGAAAGATTATAGTTCAGTGGTCGTGGATATGTGATGCACGCATTAGCGTGCGTACTGGTTTAACTACATATAAACCAGTAAAATAATATAAGGTCTTGTCTTTGTACTCAACTTGCAATGCTGCTGCTCGTGATTTCAGTCATAAAGGAGAGTTTGCACGGTCCTGTAGTTGTTGATACAATGTGTTTCACTACTACACGTCCACATTTTGTTTTACTGGAGTTGATGCTTGATGCGCCCACTCAGTTTTGCTAATACAACGTTAGATTCGCATAAAACAGCGGTACTAATGTTTCCCAAATGGTATCTCGTGGACCTTAGTGGACTGCCTGAAAAGGTCATCTGTTAGAACTCCAGTACGTTTTTATCACAGCTAGCGAAAGAATATCCTGTCGCTATGCCAACGGTCTGGTTCCTATCCATTTATGGAACAAAAAGCCCGAGTACGGGCTCTTTTCAAGTCAGCAACCGACAAACCGCCGAGCAACATGGCAGGAATCACTGTGTTGTCTGATCTTACCCTTTGAATTCTAAGACCTTGCCAGTTGACCGGTAGAGCCACTGAACGAGGGGGAAGCCGTGTGTAAGGGATGAACGGCACATATGGATTGAGCACTCACACAGTAGCAGTAGCGTAAACCCGATTGGAGCAGACTTGAAGAAATGTGTCTCGAAATCGGCGAAATGCGGATCGTTGATGATTTTTCCACCAGCTCTGAGCTCTAAAATGCGATCGTGGATGCGTGCAGTAGCATCAATTCTGCAGTCCTCGAGAAGTGTCCGCAAGTATGTCACATCTGGTTGCTGGTTGAACACGGTTCTCTGTGTGAGGTCTAGCGGATTATGATGGCACCGATGGTAACGGAGCAAACGAACTAAGAACTACTGAAGTAATCATCTACCACTCGATAGAGAAGACAAATATACATGATACACTTGGTTTTGTTTGAAAAAATGTGGAATGGTCGTGTATTCGCGTGACTGTGCATCACTTGGGGACGGAGTTTGAGCTAAGCCGGGTAAAGACAAGGATCTGCGAAAGGATTGCCCACTTGGACTGAAACGGAAGTCTACCTTTCTTTGTGCGTTTACATGAGAGTTATCAGAGTGAACAGGCATTTGCAGCGCACACTCCAACCGATCAACCAAGTCCTCGACAATGGAACACCTGCCCTTCTTCCCGCACTGCAGGTACGCTTGCTTCTATCATTTCATGCAAGAGAAATGAAATAGTGTTGAGTCCCTTCATATACTTCGACGAATCCTCAAACTTAAACCCATAAAACCCTTTTTCAACGAAGTGGTACAAACTTTAGACTGAACTCAACAAGCCGTTAACATTTTTTTTAATACGTGGCAAAGACATTTTCATACCCCGAAAAATTTGCCCATAACAGAATGGTATTGATTTTGTTAAGAACTCATTATCATATGACATGTAACAAAAGGATGAGGTATTCTGTAATGGGAAAACTCTTCGAGCGATCGGGTGCGATACGTATATAAGCCCGAGGCATCGCTGAAGCAGCAACATCTCACGATGTTGAAAAGATTACTTCTACTGTTCCTTCTCACAAATTTGGTAAGTAGACAATTTTAAATCATTTTACCTTTTCCCGTCACATTTAATGCGGCATATCAAGATACACAATGCGCTGGTATCGTCATCTGAATGCACATGTCCGCCGAGCTCGATAACTGGAAGCTCTCGCACAGACGAAAGCACGAAAACTCCCTTCATCTACTATACTTTGCACTCTGGTTTGCATTTGAATAATATTTTTCAGTAGTTGCAAGAGAACTCTTCAAAGCCTGACGTCCACTTTGAAGACTCTCGCTTAGGATCTGGAAATTTTGGCCACTGAACCTAGTCCCCCAGCATGGTCCGCATGCAATAGGAAGCACCAATATAGGGACCAGCGAAGAACCAACAAATGTTTACCGAATTCTAGTGCTTATTTTGAGATGCATAGATTTTTCGTGTTACTTAATAGGCCGTTTATGAACAGCTCACTCGAAAATGGCACATTCACAATTCATCATTACTGAAAAACTGGAAAATAGTGAGAGTTTCACAGCAAGCGGACAGGTTAATAAGTGTATTTTGAGGAACGCAGTATAGATTCAGCACAGAATTACAACTTTCTTCAATCCACATTCCAGGATTGAGTGGGAGCACACCATCTCCTGGAAGCACGAGTAGCAGCTCCGGTGTGAGTGGAGAGACAAACACGGCCTCCAGTGCCATGAGCTCCCGTTA